AGAGGAGAGATTCTTTCGGACAGTCGTAGACGATGTTGCAATTCTTGCGGACATTCTTAACAGATAAATGTTCGTGATTCCTCTTTCATCGAACCATACTCTCTGTTTGTGGCCAGCTAGCTTGGCTGTGTGCTGGACCTTCAGCTTGCCTCCGTACTCTTCACTGTAATTGGCGATCGGCTTTCCTGATGTCGGATAACCATGTCTTTATTACAGAATAATCCAACGTGGACTGGTTGTCCAGTAGCTGGATCTCTCTCATATCTATGTCGTCCATCCTTTTGTGTGGGCGACTATGCCTTGCTTAGTCGGTTTCTTCGTTCGTCCGCAAACAGCGGTACGTCGAACGTAACGAAAACTTTTTCGACTTTCTCGTCATCTGACTCGTGATGTCAGAGTCGCATCATCCTTTCTTCGTTCAGGGTTGTCATGCGTCTTCATTTTACCTGCAGTTTGCTGATGTAGCTAAGGTCTCTTTGATGCTACTAGAGCTTTTCTTGCTCGACGTGCTTGACTTGCTACGCTTGCTCGACCTCACTTGTCATCGTCGTCTTTGTCTTTATCTTTGTCTATATTTTGTCAGGACAGTGCGAGGCTGGATGTCCTTTCTCGTGGCAGGTAAAGCATTCTTTCTCTTTCCAGTATTCTTTGTCATAGCTCGCGTTTCCGCGGCCTTTTCCTCTGCCACCACCCCGTCCTCTCCCGCCTTGTGCTGTCTGAGCAAAGGAGCTTCCGTGGGAAGTGGACTGTCGTGGGATGTTACTCTTGGTGTGTTTGTCCAAAAGGTGTAATACCTCATGTAACGTGTGGGGATAGTCATCAGTGCCTTTGGCAAAGTCGTCCCTCAGGTTCTGTTTAAGCTTGGTATTTTTGGCTGAACTATTTGTTAAGAAGATGTAACTATAGTACCGTTCTTCAGCGTATGCCAAGACTTTCTTCTGGTCATCGGCTCCAAAGTCAGTGTATGCTGTGTTTGGGTGGAGTAGTTTAGCCGTATGCAGCAGGGCTGCATCGTGTAGCTTGGAAATACCCACGGATTTTGCAATGTCCCTTTTCGTGGTAAATTGCTCGTGGTATTCGGAAGCGGTAAGGCTCCCTTGGTGGAAATTCATCAGTTGTTTTTCCAGTTGAAATAATGTGTGGTACACAAATTATCATCGGTCTGGGCCATGATCGTCTTATGGATCATTTTTTGTAGCTCCAGTGGGTCGCATCTTAACAGGACGTCATCAAAGTCCTTGTTCTGCTTCATCTTGTCCTTTAATAGTCGGGTGCACTGCCCTAGGATCAAGTTGAAAGCTTTGCCTCTATTTTCTTGTAGTTTTGCCAACCTCGTAAGGTGGGTCTTCATCAGCCCTCCATACTCTGCTTTCTCGAGTCCCCGGAGTTCCTCTTCCGGTGGGTCGGCTATGGCTGTCGTAAGGTCAGCTATTTCATTAACGAGTTATGCTTTTTCTATCGTTAGTGTGTGTAAGCTACCGAGAGTCGGGTCATTGGTGACTGCGGTTATCTCTGATTCCAGTAGCTGTAGGCTTGCTTGGGTTGCCGATAGGAGACGACGGTTGTTCACTTCACGTCGTATCTTCGCCGTTTCAAGCCTATTCCGGGTCTCCGCTGAGTACACCGGTGCTACCAACACTGTCTGTTTCAGGTTGCGTAGCTCATTGCTCATGTCGTCACCCATCTGTTGTCCAACGTGGATGACGATCTTCTCCCATGTGCGTATCATCTGGTCTGCCGTTCCAGATCCAGTTGTACCGAAGTTAAACACATGTTGGTCGAGGGCTTTGCATGAACCTTTCTGCTGGTTCGACGATGGACTGGTTCTTCCATGCCCTCGTCCTTTGTTGCCGCCTCCTCGGCCACTCTTTCCTTTACCTCTACCGCTCATTGTCTATGCTACGGTAGGTGGACTATTTCAATTCGTTGTTTTTTGATTGACTAGCTCTTTAATTTAAGGTCTCGTCCGACTACTTATTCGTCTTTTGGCTATGGGGCGATAACTGAAATTTATACTCCTGGCTAGGGAGTGTTAAATCTATTTACTAAAGATCTTGCTAGGAGGGAACGATTGCTTCACACACTGTGCGGTCGTTTCCACTCCAAACCCGTTTCTTTGTATTGTTGATTCCTTGTTGGGTGCCCGTCCTTTGGCCCCTGCGCTGGCACTGTGGCTTTCGCGCTTGTTGTTGGCTCTGACAGTTCCGGCTGGATGCTGTCGGCTCTCCTATCGACAATCCTTGTGGATTCTGCCGATGAAACTCTTGCTGTTGCCGTCGACCGATACTCGCGTCGTTGGCTGCAGTCTCCTCTCGCGTCGTCGCGATCCGTCCTCGGATCCTTGCGTCGTCGCGGTGCTGTCGATCCTTCGACAGTCTTCTTCACTCGTTGCTGTCGTTCGTTCAACAGGCTTCTCTTGTTGCTGTCGTTCGAACGTCGAACAACAGTCTTGGTCTTGTGCACGACGATTCCGTCGGCGGTACTCGCGTCGCGTTCTTCCTTCCGATCGCGTCGCGTTGCTGTCGAAGGATCGACAGGCTTGGTCTCTATCGGTCTTCTTCTTCCTGGTACCGTTCGTTGCTTCGATAGGCTCCTCGTCGATAGTAGACCGATCTTTTTCAGTAGTATGTTAGTTGCTCTAAGCTCTCTTCTAGTTTACTTGCTATTGAGATACTACTGAAAAAGTGGGTGGGCTCTGTATTCCATGGTATTTCTACTGGCATGAAATTCTAGTACAGAGGTACAGGTTCAATCCCTAATCGCGAATCCCCAACACAGAGTAGCTCAACAGCGCAACAAGCAAGCCATCCAGAGCAAAGAAAGATGGAGCTAGCTGAGATGAATACAATGAATATAGCTAGGCAGCAATAGTGTGGTGCTACTAGTCTTAGTAGTAGTGTTTTAGAATTCATATCTGTCCATACCAGATTCAAACCTGTGACATTATCTTTTCACATAGGCCTACACAACCTCCATATCTTCAGATTGGCTTTGAAGATTTTTCAAATTCACTTCCTCCCCATTCAATCTGGGTGGCACAAACTGCATTGGGTGAGTCTCTTTGCTTGAATCCTCCAGATATGTGTTGGCTAAACAGAAGCTTCCCTCATGTAGAACTCCAGCAACAGTTGTTGGTCCAATGTAAACACCATCATAGACCCAAGAATGCCCCGATACAATGCTTGAATCAATGATGGTCTTGTCCTTGATTGTCACCAATGGCAAGTCATAGAGGCGAACACCAAAGAACAATGCACGGCCCTCTACATTACAGCCCATGCCTTGAAGGAACCAGTTGAAGAAGGGTGTACCCCAGAAGATTGCAAGTAGAGAAAAGTCTTCCAGGTGGCGGTGCAAGTTCATGTAAATTGCAAACATGATCATTGACCAGGGCTTAGTTTGCCCTTGAGTTCCACAAAAGTACTGGCTTGGGTATGTGATCCAATGGAGGAGCATGTGGAGAAAGAATTGTGTGTCACAGAACACAGCAAGTGTCACAGCCACTTTCACAACGAGGAACCCTGCAGAAGAGGTACCATAGTCAAGTTGAAAGAGCTCAAAGGTTGGGATGAGCGAGAGGAAGAGAATAGCTATAACCAGAGGTGTGGCAAGATCAACCACCAATCGTCTTGACAGGGGCATTCTTGTTCCAGTTGTGGTAAGATCGCCGTGGATGTCAGCTGTAACATGTGTCAATGGATTGATCTGGGCAGATTTGATCGTTACTCCACCATCAATAATGACACTGTGCCCAATGCTGGTGTTCTCAATGTGGATCTTTTTGTACTCTCCATCTTGATCCACATCAAAATGTGTCACCGACAGTGTTGACTTCTTGAGAGTGATCAAATCAACCTTGGAGGGCGGAAAGAATTTAGTCCACACCTTAGATTCCATGTCAATATCTAAGCCCAGTAACCACAGTAATGCATTCACCATGACTGCGTTGTCTGCCACTAGGTCCAGAAGAACAATGCTGGCAAAGAAATGATAGTCGACCATCCAGTCAAGCGATTTTTGGAAGATAGAGTTGTTGGTTACTGGACCTGGTTTTCGATGTCCAATCAGAATCCATTTCATGGGAATGCAAACCAGTAAGTTCCCAATGCCTGTGAGGACAATGATGAGGAATGCCTTCAACAGGGTAGCATAGCGCCACTCAAACCCAGAGAGTCCAATCGTGATGGCCCACCCAGCAGACCCAGCAATGGCAAAGGTCAAGTAGAGTTCCATGAGGGGCCAAATACATTTGATAATTCTCAACACAGCCATACTCTTCTTGTCATGCTCAGTGTTCTTTTTGGGCTGTGTCATTCCACTCTGGTGAGCAGGACTTCCTCTTGCAATGGCAGAAGTTGGGACTTGAGCACCTTCAGGGACTGCAGCTAGCTTCTCCACTTTGCTGCCATCTCCCAGTACCACACCAGGACCTACTTGTCCTTTAACCATACAGCCATCCCCAATTCTGATCGGTCTGAACCTCAATGAGGGAGACCCAGCATACCGCTCAGACTCCTGCCAGGGCCCAAACTTTCTACACTTGATCCCAAAACTGATCTCGGTGTTTTCGCCAATCTCCAAAAGATCGAATTCTCGGACAAAGCAATCCAACTTGGCAGAGGAGTGGACCTTGCAGCCCATCACTTTATAGAAAAGCCATTGCCATGGAGTGCCAATTACATACCTGCCAATCAACATCTCCCACAAGTGCATTTCCCTGTCAACAAACCACCATCTGACATAGTATATGGATGCCACCGGAATCTCTCTGGAAGAGTACTTGCCAATTACAATCCACTTTGAGAGGCAAACCAAGAGGGTGAAGCTAATGTGCCACAGCAAGAAGACTAGAGGAAGTAGTATCCCAAGTGCAGGCGGTGCTCCATCATAGATGATGAGCTTGTAGCACCTGTAGGAAGGGACTGTGCTTACAGATAGCATCAAAAAGAGCAAAATGACACAAACCCCCTGCAAAAGAGTGATTACAGGCCAGGGAAGTCTTGAAGCGGAGGTGTCAAAGCTTGGTGCTTCGACAAGGAAGAACGATCCATGATTTGGGCTGAGGATGTACTCTTTGAGTGCAGCTGGGGTTGGATATTGGTCAGGAAAGTCACTGGGGATGGTGGCTGGAAAAGATTCGGCTAGCTTGTTGTTGAGCTCAATCAAGATGAGGGAAGTGAGGCCATTTTCATCCCATCCAGAATCAGGATCATAGTCAGATACCAAGAGTGAAGTCATGATGGCATCAAACTTCTCTGCAGGAGGGAGATTGTGGCCAATTTCCTGGTGTCCATTACCCTCACCTGCCAACATGGATGACTGATCCAGGACAAAGACAGCTTTGTGTTCATTTGCATGGAGCAGGTCTCTGTTTCTCCTTCTCTGGATCTTGCCACTGGTTGTCTTGGCTATGCTTCTTTCTTCCAATGCCACAATCTTGGAAGGAACAATACCAATATCCTGAATGATCACAGATTTGATTGCCTCACAGACAGCCTGTGCAGTCTTCTTGTTTGCATTCCTAATCTCAAAAACGACTTCAAGCTGGCCATCACCTTCACCGGTATCGTCCGAAGAGAAGGCTGCCACACATCCTGGCCTGGCACCATTGCAGGATTGAACAGCCAGCTCAATATCTTGGGGATAGTAGTTGACCCCGTTGATGATGAGCAAGTCTTTGATCCTGCCACAAACATACAAGTACCCATCTTGCATGAAGCCCAGGTCCCCTGTTCGAAGGAATGTGATGCCAAGATTGGTATCATCCTGATCTCTTGAAGAATCATCGTGAGGCAGCAACCTGGCTTGGAATACCTCACTGGAGAGTTCTGGCTTTCCATGGTATCCAGCAGCAACAGAAGGGCCGGCAATCCAAATCTCACCAGTTTGGTCATCAGGAAGTTCACATTGGCTTACAGGATCAACAATTTTCACAGTCAGGGTGTCATGAAATGTCTCAGTAGACCCTACAGCCAAGAATGAGTTGTTATCATCACCACGAGGTTTCGACAGATGGTATCCAGGCAGCCATGTCCCTCCAACTACATTTTCAGCCAAACCATAGGCAGCACTAAACCAATCTTTGCGCAGGCCAAACTCAGAGAATGTCACTGCGAATTTGTCTTGAGTGTCAAGGCGAATTGGTTCTGCAGCATTTAGTAAGCTGAAGATTGAAGACAGATCAAAATTGGAGATGGGTACCTTCCCACCATTCATAGCCATTGCTTCTGTGAACTTCCTGGTCACCAGATGGTAAGCAAAGTCTGGTGCTACACTCAAAGAAACCCGGTTCTTGGACATGAGATCCAGCCATAGAAGTGGTTTCTTGATAAATGATATAGGTGACATCAAGTGCACTCTCCATCCAGCCAGAAATGGCAGTATGGCTCCAAAGTTTAGCCCAAAATCATGGTACTGGTGTTTTAAAGAGAGGTCTGTAAGACTAGGGTGGCTATTCATAACATATGAAATGACAGAGAGCTTCACTGAACTCACCTGTGGCAACCAGGAGAAGCAAACAATGTCATTGGCACTATGTCCATCTCTAGCAAAGCCATAAAAGATGCAATCCTGGAAGAGCTTCACATTTGAATGTAAAGCTTTGAAGGTCACCATGACTCCTTTTGGATCACCAGTGCTTCCCCTATATTGTTTAGAGTGCTCTTGTTAGACAATGCCCAATACATCGAAGGAAAATTCTTTGCTTGTCCTCTTCCATTCAATTGCCGTACTTACGAGGTGTATTGGTAAAAGGCAATGTCAGATTCAACAATGTCTTCTTGATCAAAGGATCTTGTCTTTGATGCCAAAGAAAATGCATCAGTGACCTTGAAAGGGATATCCTTAGGCCACATCCCCTTGCTCTTTGAGAATGGCTTTAGCTCATCCACTTTCTTCATTGCCATGATTGCCATGTCAGTCAAGATCAACACAGGCTGGCAATCATTGATGACTTTCTCCATCTTGGTGAGTGTCTTGGTAAGAGGCGGGAACGGTGGATAAACCAAAATGGCCACAACCCCAGCTCTCAAGCAACCAAGAAAAGCAGCAAAGAAGTGCAAGCCAAAGTTATAGCACAAGACCACCTTGTCTCCTTTCTGGACTCCCCATTCTTTGTGGAGGCGGTATGCAATGTCTCCAGCTTCTGCCCAAAGCCCTCCAAATGTGTAGTGTTTCCCAATAGCACCATTGATCTCATGCCAAGTAGCAAACGTATCATTCTGTTTTCGAACAGCAACACCATGGAGTTGGTGGATCAAAGATGACTTTTTTGAGCTCATTTTTGTCAGCATATTACTGCTTGTTGTTTATTTTCTTTTTAAACTGAACCTAGTAACGGATTTAGACAAGATGTGCTTGAGGACGACCCACGGGTCGAGGCTCGGGTATTGCCCACAGTCAAGTCTGCTCACCGGCCACACTGGCCTCCTGAGATAGCTCCTGAGATGCCGTTTGTTGTTCAGCGTCAAAGAGCTGCGATTTGGTGTTTGATGTTATCGTTACCATGCCGATCCGTCTTTTGCCTCAGCGTGCTGTGTGATGGCGAGTTTCTTTACTTTCTTGTTAACTTTCTGCTGTTTGCCTGTGGCTGTCCCAGCAGGTTGAGCCCTTCAAGTTTCTTTACTTTCTTTTCTTTTACGCGAACGATTCGATTCGATTCGATTCTATGCTCTAGCTAGGTCTAGCTAGCGTACTAGCTAGCTAGCTAGCTAGTACGCTCGCAGTCTTTGTGCCTCACTTGGACGGATTTCAGTAGAGCTAGGGTTCAAAAGATACATGATTGCATTGGATATTCAAACGAAGGGAACCGCGGCCGGACGTTCGTCTTCGTGAATCCTTGGTGAGCCAAGTTCGCCGGAGATACCGATAGGTCGGGTCCAGACTGTGCACTGCAGGGTGGGGTACTGGTACCACTGGCTCTAGTACCGTAGAGCTTGAGGTGCACCCACTTGTGGATTGCAGGGTGCTTATCCCAGCTGCACTGGTACCTAAAGTTTGGCATCCTCCTCCTCCTTCTCCTGGTTTCGAAAGAAACCAATGGACAAACGCCACCTTCAGTAATCTGCTCTGAGAAAGACTCGTTTGCGAGGGGCTATGAAGAGGCAGGCACTACAGTAAGCTCAAGGGGTCTAGCGCTAGCTCGTGCTAGAGGAGGCAACTTGTTCGTATCGCGGAATGGAAGAATCGAGGCCTGGGCCGGATCTACTGGCAAGGTCTGTGAAGAAAGAAAAAACGAACAAAGCGCAAACAAGTTGGTGGCCATCGAGTACAAGAACGGGATCTCTTTAGTATAAGATACGTGCAATGTATCCTCAGCTATATTGCTGATTGGATTAATCAGTTTCAGCTCCGTGGTGAGCTAAGTTCACCGGCATGTCATACTGTAAGGTCGCGACTGTGCTCTGCGCGGCTGCTTGGTAAGATTACGGATTCGATTCGATTCGATTGAATGATTCGTTTTGTAATGGTGTGTGGCACAAACCACGGCCCTACTTGGTGCAGTACCAGCCAACTTCAATCGATTTCAACCATCTCGAACCACCTTTCTTGAAGGCTTGAACCGTTTGGTGATTACCTGCCTGTAAACCTGGCTGTTTCGGTTGGTTGGGGATCTACCAGTGGCTGCTTTGACATTGCAAGGTACGTCGAGGCAGCCACCCCCAGCCCTTACCTTGCACATGGGAGGCAGATCGGCGGTAGAACCGAGGAGACCGCGGTGCACAGGCGTACATTGATGCAAATCATAGCATTCCCGTGCTTCCGACGTCTTTATGAATCCGCTCCAGCCACTCCTAAAATGTCTTTGTCGATTGCACGGGGTGTGCAGCCTATTCATGCGGCACTATCAACAAGCCAAGTGTGGAAAGAAAAGGAACCCAACATTGTTGCTCCGGTCCCGACGTGTATCCAGTTTGCACAACGTAATCATACTCAGCCAACTCCGTCGAAGCTAGAGAAATGGGAACAGAGCCAAAACAAGGACATGACCATGAGATCGTGCGTGAAGCAATGTGCACAACACAGAGATCCCATCGAATCGAATCGAATCAGCTTCCTCCTTTTCTTCACGACATTCCCGCTGGGCTTGGACCTTGATACACTGGGAGGTTGATACGTACCGGTACCAACAAAAGTGAAGACATTATTTCTCAATCACTCTCTTCCTTTTCTTGGAAGTCTGCGGTGGCGATGGAACTCACCAGGATTAGTATACGATACAGATGCGGTAACCTGAGGATTCACACGCCCAAAAGTTAACATGTTGGAAGGGTAGCTCAAAGTAGTAGGTCCTCTGAACAGTTTTTGGTAGTCTTTGTCTTTTTCATAGAGATCCTTCTTGCTTACTATCACCTTTTCAAGTGCCACCAAAAAGTCCGTGCTTACATTCTCAAGAGTCACATCTGTCCCATCCTTAAATTTCTGGTCACTGGGATGACACGAATCTACAAAGCATGATGCATGATAATGCTTCTGGGTTTGACGTACATCCCAACTCCCTCCACATCCTTGGTTGTAGAATTTGTAGAGATCATGGTGCGTCACTCGGATGGTTTCTTTTGCTATAGGTTCATCACAAATGCGACATTTAGCTCTTCCGGTTGATGATGGAGCAGCAAAAAACGCCCCTTGGACTTGATAAAAGCTCGTAACTTGATCGCTTTTCTCTTTTTCAGCCTGTATAGCAGCGTCACGATAGTTCAAGTCGGCCACAAATGCCGTCAAGGCACGTGTCTGAAGACGCCGCCGATCTCTTTCGTTATTTTCTCGATTTTCCTCAGAGGGAGCACTCTTGTCACTTCCATCAAGATTGTCTTTGACATTCAAAACTTCCCATTTTGTCATCCTTCGCACTTTCTCTGGGTCCATGCGTCTGAAATAGGTCAATACCCTATTGAGGAGTAGCTTTTTTGTACCGATCGCCTTTCCAAGCCCATGAACTTTGACAAGTCGCTGGATCTGTCTGTAGCTGAGACAATCGTTGTCTTCCAATATTCGAAGCCTGGCTGCCTGATGGACATCTTGCGACTTGGTTTGCTCATGATCTCATGATGCCTTTGTCTTCGTTCGACAGCGTTGACGGCAGTGTTTGCAAGCTGGTTCAGTGTTAAGTTTTCTGCGAATTTACGCCTCCGGGACCCAGTGAATGCTTCAATTGCATTGAATTCGGTGCTCACTGCTACTACCTTTCCGGACGATGTTATACCCGTGCCTCTATAGTTTTAACTGAAAAGGGAACCCCGAATTTCTTTCTGTTTTTCTCGAGGAATGGAGATGAATGGAAGAAGCGAAGTGCTGAACAAGGAATGACGGCCAATCTAGTAGGCAGCAGCCAACGTGAGAGGCGATATTGGACCACCATGGACGCCATGACCTCGTTGCTTTATCTGATACCAGTACCAGGTACTGAGTTGACATCTCTGATTTTTGTCCTCAAAACATCCCAGGTTTTGTGAGAAACATCGGCGGTGAGTTCTCAACCCCTTCTGGAGAGTTCCCAAACCCTGAAGGACATTACTGGTAAGTTAGGGGTAGGATTAAATTAATATTTAAGGTTAGTGCATTCAGCACAAAACACAAGAAGCCAGCCGGAGCTGTAAAGCTTAGACTGTACATGTAAAAGGGATTGAAAGCTGTAAAAGTCAGTCTTCGTGCTCCATTTTTTGGAAAGATTGCAGAGAGCTGGAGAAATTAAAATAGGTTCAAAGTTCATAGTCGCAGAGTTATTAATAACATCTTCGCTGGCTTATATTCTTGGGCATACGGCATCAATGGATTTGACACCAACCAGCTGGTCGCATTGACTGCTGGCCTCTGCGACAGCTCAACCTTCCACACGTATTCTTGGAGCAGGAGCCTTCGGGAAAGGTAATGGTGCAGGTGAAGGACAAGCGATCAAGCGACCACTTTCGATCTAGCTGGGAAGCCTCCAGGGCAATAGGTCTCGCCACTTTCACATGGTCTGGGTTGCGCGGAACTGCCCAAGAGCGGAGATCATGCGACCAACTTTAAGTGTTTTGGACCCTGCAAGGCAATGTTGATCGTCTTTGTTCCTGTTTTGCAAGATGGCGCCGCTGTCTGCTGTGCTCTGACTGCATAGTGCGAGCTACCAATAGCTGGATACGGTATGTACCTACCGACCTACCGACTACCGCTAGCTAGCTACCGGTAGGTACCGGAGCAGGGTGTGGGACTCACATGAAATACACGCTGCGTGTACTCGATGTGAGTACGGGTACTGAGTACTGAGTATACTCAGTACCCATACTCACATGACCTCAGAAAATGTGAGTATTACTCAGTACCCGTACTCACATGACTCCGGATTTTGAGTACTTTTTGAGTCTTCGGTGAGTACTTCGGTGAGTACTTCGAAGTGAGTACCAGTGAGTACTCGGTGAGTATTTTGCTACAAGAACAGTGCATTCATCCAGAACTACATGTACAAGCAATGCATCAATGATGCAAGAAAGGAATGGGCTAAGAATAGGACCAAGGATCTCCTCAAGCTAACTGCCAGCAGATGTGAAGAGGAGGATTATGACAGTGATATTGATGCCATGGTGGACCTTTACAACAAGATTGATGAGCCCCCAGCCCAGAACTAGAAAAACCTAGATAATTTCCCTTGATTTATGAGTACTCAGTGAGTACTCTATAGTACCCACAAAGTACCTGTACTCACATGATACCCGTACTCACTTGACCCTGGGAATTGTGAGTATTACCCAGTACCCATACTCACTTGACTTTGGAATTGTGAGTACTACTCAGTACCCATACTCACATGCTAAAACAGTGTGAGTACCACGCCCTGTACCGGAGCTCAAGCGCACAGTACACGTACATTTCAGGTCAGAGTGGATCCACCTTGCCAAACCCGGTAGGAAGTCGTTGTTGAGGCTATTGAGAATCCTTTGGCCACCCGGTACCAATAGAGGAAGGCTTCTGTGCACAACCATAGAATACAGAAGTGTCTTCTCAGCCTTTTTACGAATCATAATCTAGGATACCCCACGGTCAAGACTAGCTTGGCCCTTGTTACATTTAGAAATTTAAACTGTTGTTTGTCTTTGAAACATAAACCGAATTTGCATGATGACATAGAGAACCAAGTCAAAACACGGTAAACCACAACTATCAGGATGTATAAACGTTCATACAGTGACCATCGATCGTCAGCGCTGACGATCGCTCAACATTCGGTTTGAGCAGCTGTTCGCACTCATACGTTTCAGAAAGTTTCCTCTACATCCCCTGAAAAGTCCGAATTTTCTACAGAGACTTCTACACTAACACAATCGTATCCGGCATCATCCGACCAAGCCGAATGCATTCTACAGTTCTCTGGATTGAACTGCCCCTTTTCACTAAGTGGTGGCTCGTAGTCTTCGGATTTGACCTAGTTGGTGCCTTGCAGTTTAAGGGTTCTCTGAAGCCTGCCCGAATCTGAACGACAAAGTCGAATTTGGAACGCCACGCTGACATAAGGCTATTGAGAACTGTCGACCCCGATTTTGCATGCGTCAATGGACGATCGATCAAGAGAAACCAGTTTCGACAAGCACAAGAAAAAGGCAAAAGCGACTGACCGAAGAAACTCGCTGTCATAAAAATTGGCGCCATCAAGCCCAAACATCAACAAAACCATCAAACCAACAACAACACCAACCATGAAAATCAACCATGTCTCGTCTCCTTCTCCTCAACCACGAAGCGGCGTGAGCATGGCTCGATCCCAGCCGATTGCCATCGCCAAGGGTGATGCGGACTGGGGCCTCCAAGAGCTCGACATGGAACGCGAAGAATGCGAAAAGCGCTTCTACGAGAGCGCTACTTGGAGGATGTACACTCGAATTGTAGACCATCGACTCAATAGTCCTGACAGCCAAAGTCCTGCCCCTGTTCATTACAACAACGGCAGTCCTAGTCCATGCAGTGTGGGCAGCAGTGCCAGTCCTGTCCAGCTGGACTTGTCCGTCCTCAGGCGCGGTATGCTCGTCCTATGCCGTCGTTCGGACAACCCTTCATGATGATGGATGCCCATAATATGCATTCATCTTCTTCTTCTTCCTTCATCATGGAAGCTGACGATTTCGACGAAGAGGAAGTCTTTGAAATGGAGCTCTAAAGCATGCAAAGACATGCGAACTGTACAAAACAAACCCCCATTGCCCGTTCCAAGACTTCCCATCTGCCCTACCTACCTGCCTACCTACCCTTTACCTTTTTGCTACTCTCTCTCTCTCTCTTGAACATACTTACTTACTATACAAACCAACCTGAACATTTTGAACATATCAACACAAACAGTCAACCCTCTAAAACCCTCGCACATCTTTGCGGCGAATCTGACGGGCACACCTACCTGAACATACCTTTCCTCTGAACATACCTCACCTGCTTATAACTATACACATTGTACATTGTACTATACCAAAATAACAACCAATTAGAACATACTTCTGTACTTCACAACTAGCTAGACCAGCTATCATTAGTGCTAAGTTAGAGATGCGATGGGATTGGTTTGTTCCATGGGATTGGTTCCAGCTTGCTTGCTAGCAGCAATGGCCCACCCACGCCTACTAGCTAGGGTGTTCCCATTTGGTTCACACAAGTGCAAGGCTGTCGGTACCGGCACCATGGCTCGTTGATGCTGGCTAGCCAGCTACAGCGTATGTTGAAGTGCGCTGCACCCACCTCTGCTGCCTTGCTGGCTAACAAACATCGCCCCAGCGTTGGACACTGCCCTGACAAGCAAACTACTGGGACAATCGTACGGTACCTCGCACTGGCTGGCTGGAAGTTGACATGACTGTGCTGGCTACTACCACTGGCCAGATAGGCATCTCGTCTGCGGCTGTGGCTGGGGTGGGCCGCACTGCACACCCACCTTCGGTCACTGTAGGAGGGCCCTACTAGTAGTACCAGTACGTGGGCTCATAGATTAAATTATCTACGGTTGCGCTACCCAGTCAGGACTGCGCAGCATGAACGTTGCTCCAAGTTGCATTGCTGTGTAGTCTACATGTTGGGAAGAGAACGGAGAAATTCAATCGAAAGCATCTTGCTGATTTCGTTCACGGCTATAGACGATGTGGAGCAACGAGACTCTATGCACGCTATGCACGGGAGTCTTGCTGTCATGACCAGCACTTTCAGATCCTCGCCACGTACGGAGTGCTGGCTAGCTAGGTGTCATCAGGCTACTCACAACAGGACCTTTAGCCTCTCGGCCGCTTCGTCGTTTGCTTGGCTCGTCTGCTTCAGTCCAGCCTTAACAATACCCGCAGAAACAGACGGCACGGCCGCTTCGTCGATTTCGTACCTGCCGGCGTGAGGAGAGGGCACCATGGACATGGGTATGGCTGATGTTTGTACCGTACCGTAGCTAGTGGTCGCTATCCCACGTTTGTTGACTGTCGACGATCATTGTCACGATATCCCGACACCCCAACAACTCGGTGGTAACGGCGAGGCGATCAGTTCGTGCACGACAGTACCAGGTAAACGCGGTAGATCCTCGCACGTTCCAATAGCGAGCTTTGGGGCCAACCACAGGAACCAAGGAGTGACGCAGAATGATGAGCAAAGGCCCAACGACTGGTGATGATCCCGTCAAATCGAGCAGTTGCTCCCCCGTAACATTCTCTGTACCCTGATTCGAGTGTTTGCGCCCCACTTATTGCGGGTGCAAAGAGACGTGCAGAAGTTGGCGAGTGGACGAGCCCGTGGTCCTTCATGCGCATCGACAAGCATATTCAACTCGTATGTAGCCTTTGGACAGTGTGGTTCATTTCGATGACACCAGTAACGAACACCTTACATGAGGATGAAAGATGAAATCTCCAGAAAAGACCACAGTTTCTTATCGTGCACTTGGATCTGGATCTCAAACTTCCCATCCGTGTTGGGGGTCCAAGTGAACCGTTTTGCGGGGTCGGAATCCTCGTGCTGCAACATGCGACAAGTCTCTGATTCCACCAGTGGGCTGACGTAGCCATTGACAGTAACACCGTTCACGGTTATTTCGATCTGGGCTTTGCTTTGAGACTTGTTCTTCAGGATTTGTAGGTGCAAGTCCTTGGTCTTCTTCTCGGGTGTTCTGAGGCATACGATAATCCAACCATGGCTTTTGGCAACATCAAAGTACCGCCGTTCCATATCGTTTGGAAGGGCCAATGATTGAGGGCCGCCAACATTGCTAACATAGAAATTATCCAGCCTCACAACCTGCGCGACTGTGGGAACGTTACATTTCTCTTGGGCCAAGCCATCTGTCACGAGCATGATTTCCTGTTTGATTGATTTCGGGTCCTTGTCGTCGTAAGCTTGACCATTCTTTTCCACGCGGCTTATATGATTGCTGATGATTCCTCTTTCATATGCCTTGCCCGTGCCAGGCTGTGCCGTTCCGTTGGATTCCGTCAAGATCCCTCGATAACGAATCTCCGCAGGCAAAAGCCCCGTATGACACAAAGCGGGTGATCGGAATAGAGCCGTAAGGTTAATGTCTTTCCTTACATCCACCATTTTGTTTTGTTCCGCTATCCATTTGTCGAGGCCAACAAGACCGGACGATCGTAGGTTCTCCTGGTCTGAAGTTTGCGCTGCTGTGAGTTCTGTCAATTGTTGCTGTTTGCTGCTTTTCAGTTCTTCTAATCTCTTTGTGGATTGCGTATCGATCTCCCCCTTCTCGGCTTTGCTGAGTCCTTCTATCGCATCTGACAGTAGCTCGAGCATCACTGCGCGTGAACAGGGAGAAGAACTCACAAGTTAGTCAAACGCACTATTCATTCATTCCAATAATTGAGGCGACCTTCCCACAACTAGGTCTACAGCAATCGACTTACACATCGCGTAGGTGTACCCTTGAAGAGCCAACGACCGCCACGCTGGATTCCAAAAGGCCCCATTTCGTTTGCTGTGTGTATACACGAGAAGAGGTTGCCATCAAATGTGAGCTTGCGATCCGAGCGATCATTCTGACCCATCCCAATCCAACACTACTTACGGACAAGTGCTACTGTCAAATCTATCATACCGGCACAAAGCACCTCCAATTTTGGATCCATCTGGAAACTTGGTGGGGCCTCCATCTTCGAGCTCTCCACCGCACTTGATCTTTTGTAGATTGGGCGTTAACGCGGTCTCCAGTTCCTTTTTGGATCGAAATTGTAACGAGTCGGGAAGCGCCGCAAAGAGACGATCTTGAACGTCTGGATCCGGCACCAATACGGCTAGACCTGCCTTTTCCATGATGGAGACTACATTCCGATGTTCCTTGGTTTTGCCCATTTTGTTCCTACCGCCCTTGAATGCGGGCAAAAAGGCACTGCCCGTCATAACGGCGGTCCGGTAGACATGCAATCCCAGTTTCCAGGCATCTTTGGATCCCCGATCGCGATAATTCCATTCCATAATATCGTAGTCCGTCCCATAAATGGACTCGGCGCACAAGGCTGGTTCGGGTGCTGCTGTCAATAGTTTGTGCCCGTAGTTGTGTGCCGAGAATTGTATCCCCACATGACCAAAGGCGTCCTTGACAGTATCTTCTAGGACAGCCGTGTACGTCTGATGTCGAAAGTTTCCCATTCCGGATGCAGCAGCATCTCCACTGGTCATCCAGACATATTTGGGCATGACCATCGCGGAGCCATCTAATTGTTTTTGTAGGATCCCTACTTGGACTTGCAACAGTTTGATTTGCAAGGCTCGTACCATTCGATTCCAGCCAGTGCTGGTTGAGTTGGGTGGAATGTGCGGCGACAGAGGATTGTCGTTTTTGTCATTGAGTTTGAAGAGCCGACCGAGTTGACCAGGACTCTTGTAGAGATAGTGATCACCAATGCCCACGGCAAGAGTCCCATTAGCACTCTTGACGAATGGTTCAAATAGCTCTTGGTAATACTTTTCGCCGTAGAGTTTCTGCAATTTTTCCTTGACGCTGGCACGTGCTATGGTCAGCCGCGACATCATGCCTTGGCTGGTCACAAGATCCAATGATAAATTTTGGGCTATGGATTGTCTGTCTCCGTTTTCTATTGTCTTGCCCTCTGCAGAGCTTGCTCCATTCTCATGTGCCACTTTTGAAGGTTCGTTCTCTGTTGGACTTTGTTCTACTGATTCCTTTTCTGATGACGAACCGTCAACTTTCGTTGACGTGGCAGTATCAACACTAGTTGTACTAGAAGTACTAGAAGTACTTGAAGAGCCGGTAGAAGTAGCATTGGCCGCGACATTTCTCTGAATGTTTTCTCTTGTGAAAGACACGTCTTCATCGGCCACTGTCTTTTCTTTCACAATGTCTCGTATCAGCTCCTTTTGCAGGGAAGATACGCTGAAGAGGGGAGAACTCCGTCCAAACAAGAGTAACGCAATGCCAATCGCAACGGCTGGGGCAGTCCAACTTTTCGATTTGATTGGCGGTGTCATTTTCAACCCGGATGATGAAACCTTTGGCTTTGCCGTCACTGATTTAGAATCCAATGCAGATGACAAGGACGTCTTCCTGTCAGTGCACTGCTCGAAGCTGTCACTGAGCTGCTGCTCTAAACTGTCACTCGACATCATCATGGTCGAGATTGGAGGTTCGAGCGGAAAAGATGTTAGAAATGGGATGGGAAGAAAATAAATAAAGAATCTACATTTACTTTCGTACTGTACTACTAGTAGCTAGTACATGTACCGGTAGTAGCTGTTTTTACCGTTATGGGAAAGATCTTGGCGAGAACCCCTTGGAGATGCCTCAATTCGAATGATCACAAAACAATTTTCGAATAATTATTCGAATGTACCCCACACGACCTTGCCCATGTAAGCTCTCATGTTCCAGATCCCATGTCATGCTATACTTTATGCTCCAGACTCTTGGCTACGTTACAGCCTTTGCTTGCAGGAGGGAGGGTGTGTGACTCAAAAGGAAAAAGCAGAGGGAAACATAGGCAGGTACGAAAGGCAGTGCAGGCACAAACCTCTAGCTAGACAGCCACCCACCAAGCTGGCTGCCATTTTATTTATGGTCCAAGAGCAATGTATCAAGTTGAGATTGCCCAGAATGTTCGAGGAGGTG